AACAAAAAATAGTACCACCACCCAATGCTGGAGAGAATGTGGAGAAACTGGATGACTCGTACATTGCCAGTAAAACAAGTTGCCATGGAGTCAATTATTAAATATTGATTATTAAATGTTAACTGCGTAATGGACAAAATGCTCAGCATTTTACATGCAAGATTTATTTAATCTTCACAATACTCTATGAGGTCAGTATAATGATGATGATGATGATGATGATGATGATGATGATGGTTCCTGATTTACAAATGAGAAAACTGGGGCTGAGAGACCTTAAGTAATTTTTCCCAGAGTAACAGAGTTAGAAAGTGGTAGGGAAGGACCCAAACTCTAGTCTGGAACCCACTACAGTCTACAAAGAATGCAGCCAAGAATGCAATGGGGTTCTCTGAAAGGAGAAATCACAGGAATGAGGAAAGCACTCCAGAGAAAGTCATCGTGAAGGACCGTGAAGGACCTGGGCCTTGAAGGACCAGGAGGGCTGAGGAGAAAACAAGGAGGGGAGGACTCCAGAGAAGAAGATGGAAAATCCACCATTTCTGGGAAAAAACACAGAAACTTGCTTCGTTCTCCCAGGAGAAAACTGGAGTGTACTCCAGCTTTGCCTCTCAGGGGTAGACAGAAGCAGTATTGTGGAAGGTCTTAGTGCTGGGCTAATACAAAAAGATCTTCCTGGATCTAATTAGCATTCTGTGAGGGTGAACAAAGCACTGAAAAAGCCAAGGTTGTATGTGAACCTCCAACATTCATAAGAGAACCAAAGTGCAAGGTATGGTTGTTTAGCACAATCCAATCCATCCTCGGGGCCAACAGAGCAATGGGAAACCAGTTGCCATCCAGTCTATTCCAACTCATGATGACCCCATGTGTGTCAGAGTAGAGCTGCACTCCATAGGGTTTTCCATGGCTGTGATCTTTTGCAAGTAGATCACCAGGGTTTTTTTCCAAGGTGCCTCGGACGGACATGAACCACCAATCTTTTGGGAAGCTATGTCCTATTAGTGGAGAGTAGGTAGCATTATCTTTTTGTGAAGGAGATCAAAGAATATGCTCATGAATATAAAGACCATAAATACCCAAAAAGGTGGAAACAACCCAAGTGTCCATCAACACATGAAAGGATAAACAAAATGTGGTATGTCCAAACCGTGGAATTTATTCATCCATAAAGAGAAATGAAATGCTGATACATGCTATGATATGGATGAACCTTGAAAACATTATGCTGAGTGAAAAAAGTCAGACCCAAAAAACAAACACTGCATGGTTCCACTCACATGAACTATCTAGAATAGGCAAATGTATAGAGGTAAAAGTTTATTAGTGGTTACTAGAAGTGAGTGGGAGGGGAAATGGGGAGTTATTGCTTAAGGGGTACTGAGTTTCCGTTAAGAGTAGTGAAAAATTTGGAAACAGATAGTGGTGATGGTTACACAACACGGTGAGCATAATCATGTAATGTCACTGAATCATACATATAAAAATGGTAGAAATTGCAAACGTTTTGTTATATATATTCCACCACAATTAAAAAAAAACAGATCATAAGGTGGTTGAGACCCGTGATCATGAGAATCATACCTAACTACCTGTACTTGGAATTTAATCCAGTACTCTATGGCTACTTATTCATTCTATGATTGAGTGCCTATTATGTGCCAGGCACTGTATGACCAAATTCCCTACTGTCATGGAGTTCACCTTCTACGCTTAGTGCTGATTCCTGATCAGGAAGATTCTTAACTGTCAGAACCTAAGGATACATTTCCATACTGTAGCATACTTGAGATCCCATGACCCCAAACAGAAATGCAAATCTCTTTGGGATGAAACTAGGCAGCTCTGCACAAAGACAGACACAGCACTCTGATTTCAGAGTGGGGATGATCTTACCACATTGTGGCTGCAGGGAAACTTAAGATGGACAGATTGTCAGGCCCTTACCTCCGAGTTGGATCAGGAAAGCAAGACCAAAATCAATGTGAAGGACTGGCAATGTGACCATTGAAGATGATTCAAGTTAGCCTGGAGTACCCTCTCTGTTTTCCACTCCCAAACTGGGATTAATTTTGCAGTGTTCCGTAAATGTAGAGAAATTGAAGGGCTTTCCCATCCCTAGCCTGGGTAAGTACTATTTCAAGACGAATCATAACAAGATGGCCTTACATTGTAAAAGAGAGAAAGGAAGATGGAAAGTAAATGCACCTGGAGACATACATTTAGGCAGGAGATATTCTACAACATAGCCTTGCTCTTGTAACACAGAGTTAGAGAGATGAATTTTTTTTCTCAGAATGCTAAAAGCAATATGTGGATGAAGATAAAATACTAAAAGATAAGCTACTGGTCACCCCTATAAAAAGACACCTAAAAGTAAGTGAATCAGGCAAGAGTCAAGAGTGGGCAAATTTATTCGTATTACCCCAAACCCAGGATTTTTAACCGTTCCAAGTTTTAGGTCTCCACGAGCCCCAAATGTCTGAGAATAAATATTTAAAATGCCTTTTGACTTAATTATAGAAGAATTCACCAATCTTTTTTTAAAAACATGATTATAAAGAATTTCATTTGGTTTTCAATGACCCCCAATGCTTCCGTGTCACATTTACAATGATATTTGGCCATTTGCTGTAAATTTGGCCCAATTTTCTATGTGCAGAAGAAATACAGACATTGCTTCCAGTTAGAGAGTAACTCTTTGCAAGGGTAAACAGTTGTACTCTCAAATACGCCAGTCCCTATAGCAAAATTCCCCTGCATTAGTTAAAGGAAAACAAATGCCACAGACAAGAAGATCCTATTTCTGACTTCATGCTGCATAGAACTGCTCTTGGATGTACAGCTTCCTATCAAGTTTCTGGTTGTTCCTTGAGTTCCCGGAAGGTCATCTCTGCTATCAAGCACTGCACAGTGAGAGCTGGTCCTATTCCCTGAAGAAGGAAAGCTCTTCAATTTGTTTTCTAAACAGTCAAGTTCATAGTTCTGAAATACTTGCCTTAATCACCTTGCAAAGCACAAGTCAGACTTTGAACTAATAGCTGGTGGAGTGGGTATGTATTCATGAATGTGTGCATGAGAGGGTGCAAGCAAAAGAGTTCCATAAGAATGTTATGGAAATAACCTTGGTCCCCAGAGGTGGCCCATTGGTTTAGCTGCATTCCCAGTAAACAAGTGAGGCTGCTGGTCCGCAGGGTCTCAATCTCAGAATTCAGTTTAAAGAACAAACTGAGAATGACAAAGGTGGGGAGGCCTTCCTTCAGCGCCTCTCAATTTTTTGCAGTGAAGGAGCTAGAAATCGCCTCCCACCATGGAGGGCCTAAAAATGATCCTGTCAATATTCTTCTTCCCCTCCACTTACTCCTTTTTGGCCACTTCATCCCCAGCCTGTAATAATACAAGACTTTGGCCAATGAAACATACTCAAAAGTGGACAAACAGCAAACGGAACTTAGCTGAGCAAGGAAAAGCATTTTTTGAAAAGGAGATGCTATACTTATCGACATGAAAACACTGTAAATTAATGTTATTATTGGTATTTGGCCCAACTACCTCCATAAACTTATCTTGGGCATGAATCTGTGGTAATACATGTGTGAGCTTCTAAGTGGCATGTGTTAAAGAACTAAATAGTATAAAGCTGGCTACCCTGCAAAAAGTAAAGTATAAGTGTAGCTTTAATATGGCTAATGTGGTTAACCAAACAGAATAATCTGCTCAATAAAACAGCTACCTCAGATCTGGAATTTTTTAGATTGGCTGTTTTATGACTGGGGTGTTTATTGCATTTAGAAATCAATGTATTCAATTTTTATTTTTTCACTGAAAGAGTTCAGTAACTTTGGATGCATTTGTCAGCGTTGTATTTTCTTTTGAGTATGTCTATTGTTGTTGTTGTGTGCCATCAAGTTGATTCCAACTCACAGCGACCCTAAAGGACAGAACACAACTGCCACGTAAGGTTTTCTCACTTGAAATCTTTATGGGAGAAGATCACCAGGTCTTTTCTCCTGTGGAGTAGCTGGTTGAGTTCGAACCACTAACCTATCAGTTAGCAGCCAAGTGCTTAACCACTGTGCCACCAGGGCTCTTTCTGAGTATGTCTAGTCTTCTCTAGAAACTATATTAAGTTTCTACTATAAAATTGGGGGAAGGGTGCAACATAAGGTATTGTAAAAATAATTGATAAATTTTTTAAGTATTTTTTACAAAGATCAAATTTTGGCCATAGAACAGCATCAATCCAAACCCCATTTGGGAAACCCTTTAAAACATAATAAAGTCATGCATCAAGCACTGCATCCTTTCTGTGTTAATTATTCCCATGAATTTAATTCCATCACTCTAGAATAGACCCTCAAATCAGTAATAGGGAAAAACAAAGCCATTTGCTGTTATTCGTTTAGCCTTGTATATTTTTTGGTCTAAGAAAAACAAAACAAAACATGCAATCGGAAACATCCCACCAGCACAGCAAAATCTTTATCTACTTTTTCTGGCATCACAAAGTGAATTCTACAAGTCTTGTAGCCACGTCGAAATCTTTCATTTGTGCTATGAATTCTGGTTAAAAGCAGAACCTTCCATTTTTAACATGCCCCAGAAAAATGACTAAAAAGAATACTTTCTTTTTCCCCCTCTTTAAAGACTATATCCCAAACATTTGCTTGAGAAACTTTCTGAATAGTGACGTTGCCCAGTAAAACACATGCAGTAGACAAAATATCAGATTTCTTTTTCCAGCTGTCCAGATGCCCATTAGTGCCTCTAACTTCTATCAGTCTTTTGCTATAATTAGGATGGCTTAGGGTTTATCTGGGCCTTTTTTCAAAACCAGATTTCCGTCCTCACAGAAGCAGCTGTCATTCACAAGGGCCCTTAATTGTATTTGGAGACCTATCCTTGATTTACGTTATGCTACGGCAATCGTGAACGCGAAGTGGAGGGAAAGACGCACGCACAAAAGACCTTTTATCATTTGGTAAAAAGGGGTGTCTTACCTGAGGATACTCACTCTGGTCTGGAATCTGGCTTGCTTCAAATAGATTATTAACCTGCATCTCTTCTCTCTTGAAGTTTGCATTTCCTTCTTCTCTGAGGAGCGAGTCTGTTGGTGTTTGAAGGTTTTTTGCTTCTGGCTCTGCTTGGGTTGAAATGGCACATTCTTCTGCATGGAACTGGAGATTAAAATCAGTAGCTTCTGCTCTGGTGTGAGAACTCTCCCTTTCATCACTCTGGGCTAGTGGGTGCTTAGCAGGTTCTCTGGGATATAGGAGATTAAAGGTGCCTTCTGTTGCACTTTCTTTCAGGTGGGTGTTCAGCTTCTTGGGTTTTCCCTTCATTCCTGGTCGCCTCACCCTGGCAGGTTTCTGTGAGCCCCTCATGCTCAATAAGTCCTTTTCCGCAATTCTTTTCTCAGCCGCAGTCCCCAGCCACTGGTGTGTCCCTGACTTTTCTGACTCACCAGCCTTCATCTTCGCTGGTGCTTTATCCATGTTTAGCAGATTGTCACCGGTGACTTCCTCTCTTGTTTGGTGGCTGTCTCTGGTTTCTCCTTGAGCTCCTGTATAAACATTTTCAGCAGCCCCAGAAGCAGGGGGCAGTTTATATCTCCCCTGGTCTGTCACTGTCGATGTTCCATCCTGGTGAGGCCCCAAAGTAAGAGTCATCCCTGGTTGCAGGGATGAGGGGCTGTGCGTAGAGGCCCCGTTGCTCCTCACCCCCACTTCTTGGGGTTGTGAGTGATAACCACAGAAGCCAGGGGTGGCATCCATAGGCCCAGTGTTATCTGACACCTGAGACTGACAGCCCATTTTATTGAGGAAATGTCCACACCCACCCAGGCAACACTCACTGAATTCCGTCTCTTCGTCATCGCTTTCTAATAAAAAAACACGGGCAGTCCCCTGCAGGTACCTTTGCCAAACTGCGTTAGAGTAATCTGTCATAACATCGGAACATTCCAGATACTCCAGGTCATCATTTGAAAACTCCTCGGTGTAGGTTAGGGTTATCTCTGGATAAAGCTTATAGTCACTGTTGGAGTCTTTGCTGGAAACCTGTGGGCAGAGTGGCTTGTTGACTGGGGCACTGCTACCTGGGTAAATGGACGAGGTTGCCCCAGAGAGTGGTTGGCTGAAGCTAACGTATTTCTGAACTTCGGGATGTTGATGACTAGAGTTTATGACTTTATCATTAGGGTCATTGTTGCTTAGGGCACCATCCATGGGCCAGGATACTTTGGAAGGCATTGTCCTGTGGCAATACATATCTTGTTTTTTGGGAGTATTACTTGAATTAGGAAAAAGAAACCCTTCTACAATTTCCTCTGTGTTATTCGGATCATAAGCCCCTTGAGTTTGCTTTGTTCCTTTAACATCCAAAGGTTTTTCTGAACTGGAAATATGAATGTCATCATTGGCCAATAATTGGAGTGAGCCTGAACGGTTGAATTTGCAGGGGGAAGAATCAGCTGACATGGGAGTGCCTGGGGAGAGCCTTTCTTCTTCCTTGTAAGAATGTTCTTTCTCATCAATTTGTTTTGCGCTTTCTGCCTCGTATGTCTCTGTTTCATGTTTCCAGCCTATGTCCACATTATCTTTCTGGTTAGGAGGGAGTTGTGGGTTCTCTGATGAGCGCTCGACTTCAATGTAAGCAGAACAGCAGATCATTCCAAAGCAGTTTTTAGCAGAGATTTGGTAAACAGCAGCATCATTTTTGGTACAGCTAGGATGAAGACAATATACAGGTAAGTTTGCCACGTTTTGATAGTGTATGCCAACATTTTCCACATTGTGGTATACAGAGAAAATGGCTATATTTTTTTTACTGCATGCTCAAGGAGATTTGTGGTCACGCTGGAAAAAGGGCTTGTGTCAGAGGCAACTGGCCCTGGGCTGCGGCTGCCCATGGTGCAGCATTCTGGAACCATCCGTCTTTCCCCTAAAAGCATTCCACCATCTTACCCCAAACTGAAAATTACTAGATGAATGGAAAAATATTTATATTCTAGTTTCTTCTTTTTAGTCATTTTTATGTTATGGAATTTGAAAAAGCATTATTTTCTGGAGTGAGATATTGTATACAAAAACTGAAGGATTCTACCACATGGGGTTGAAAGAGCATAAGCAATAACTCTTTCCGAGACTTTCTAAGAAGGCACAACTCTTGCCAGGAGGCTGTGAAGAGAATACCATACTAGGGTTATGTGTATGAAGAAAGGGCTGCTTCCTTGTTAATTTATCATGACTATAGGGTCAGAGGGACCAGTCCCTGGAGAAGGACATCATGCTTGGTAGAGTAGAGGATCAGCGAGAAAGAGGAAGACCCTCAACAAGATGGACTGACACAGTGGCTACAACAATGGGCTCAAGCATAACAATGATTGTGAGGGTGACACAGGACTGGGCAGTGTTTCATTCTGTTGTACATAGGGTTACTATGAGTTAGAACTGATTTGGTGGCACCTAACGACAACAACAAAAACATGGGGTTTAAAATGAAGCCCCATGAGCCCTGCTGGCTGGAAACCCACGTTCACATGTCATCCTGACTAACATGGCCCCTGCCCAGTGGAAGAAGCAACAGAGTCCTAGTCTGGGCCAAGCCCTGCTCTGTCCGCTCCAGGAGAGACAGCGCCCCCTGTGGCACCTCCCTTTATTGATCAGAGTCGTATGAAATGTGAAGTCCTATCTATGTGCTTTTCCCCACTCAGACCCTTCTCCAGGCTCTGTGTCCCAATAATAACTTGTTACGATTTCCTTCGTAACTTGCATACATTTATCTCATGTAACCTCATTGTAACTACAGTATTGCTAATCACAGTCTATGTATTATCCAGCTCAAAAATCAGCAGCCATTTTCAGAAGGCAGAAACTGAGTCTGTCTGGGACTTAGAGGTGACAATTAGATCTTTCTTGACTACTCTCTGTGTAAATTATGCACAAATATCTAATCCAGAAGGTAGCAGTGTTAGACACACAGCTATGCTACACAGTCTCCCTCATCCTTTCTCCTCCTCACTGGAGGGTCCCTGTGCCCACTCAAGCCAATAGGTGCTCATAACCCAAACCAAACACCAAATCCATTGCTGTCGAGTCGATTCTGACTCATAGCGACCTTATAGGACAGAGTAGGGCTGCCCCATAGGGTTTCCAAGGAGCGGCTGGTGGATTTGAACTGCTGACCTTTTGGTTTGCAGCCAAGCTCTTAACCACTGCGCTACCAGGGCTCCATAGGTGCTCATATACCCTCAATAATTGGGGCTCATTTTCAGTAAGTCAGTTTACTTCTAGTTTCTTGCTAATTGGTCACCTGATTTCCAAGTAGAAGCTGCTCAGGGGTGGTGAGTATGGCTAAACCTGACAGCTGATATGTGGCTTTGCCTTGGCACAGGAGAGCTGAAATTTCAGGCAACTTTCTGGGGGAAACAGTTCCTGCTCCTGTCTTTTTCACAAAGTTCTTCTGAGATTCAAATAAAAAAAAAAAAAAAATCAATGTAACAGGGCTTTGCAAAGCAGAGACCTTATACCATAATGTGATCTACAAGAATGTGGAAGTACTAAAACACAAGTTACCTCTGGCCCAGAGGTTCTCAAGACGAGTCCACAAGAATCATCTGGGAAATCTATGTAAAATTCCTCAATCATAATCCCTAGGTGAAGGATCTGAGAATCTGCTTTAAAAGAGTCCAAAAAGATTCTGATAACAATTGTCTTTGGCTCACCCTTGGTGAGATCCTCATCCTCATTATCATTAATTAGGCTCAGTTAAAGCTGAGTCTTTTCAGCTGGAGAAGGAATGAAGAGAAAAGTGATTTTTGCTTGAGTTTCCCATTGCCCAAGTGTTATGGATTGAATTACGTCCCTATACCTGTGGTGGGAGCCCTGGTGGCGCAGTGGTTAAGTGCTACGGCTGCTAACCAAAAAAGTTGGCAGTTTGAATCCACCAGCCACTCCTCAGAAACCCTGTGGGGCAGTTCTGCTCTGTCCTATAGGCTCACTATGAGTTGGAATCGACTCAGTGGCGGCAATGGGTTGTTGTTGGGTTCGTATACCTCTGGTTGTAATCCCATTTGGTAATGGATTTTCTTTGTTATGTTAATGAGACAGATTAATGTAAGGTGTCTTTTAAGTCAATCTCTTTTGAAATATAAAAACAGAGATGGGGGAAGGCAGATGCCAAGTCAAGAAGATCGCCAAGAAACAAGGGTCTTCCTCCAGAGCCAAAAGAGAGAGAAAGCCTTGCCCTAGAGCCGGCCCCTGAATTCGGACTTCTAGCCTCCTAAACTGTGAGAAAATAAATTTCTGTTTGTTAAAGCCACCGACTTGTGGTATTTCTGTTATAGCCGCACTAGATAATTAAGACACCAAGTCATTCTCTTCATGCCCCTTTTTAAATTAATTCCTGGAGATTTGGCTTCAGTGAAGAGCTTAACCAGTTGCTGTCAAGTCGATTCCAACCTATGGCAACCCATGTGTGTCAGAGCAGAATTGTGTTCCATAGGGTTTTTTATGGCTGATTTTTCGGGAATAGACTGCCAGGTCTTTCTTCCCAGGTGCCTCTGAGTGGACACAGACCTCTAATCCAGACCAGTGAGTTAAACATTTGCACCACCCAGGGACTCCAGGGAACGTAAACAGCACCAGGGTCTAGTGGAAAATCTCAAAACCTATTACCGTCAAGTTGATTCTGATTTCCTGACCTATTTAAGACACAAGCCCTCTGCCCAAGAAACCATCTACCCTGATGGTACCGTGACCTGTGTGGAAAGAAGAGAAAGGAAGAGAAGAAAATAAGGCTAAGAGGCATAAAGAACCAGGTAAGAAAGCAGTAAAGGAGGGGAATAAAGCCGAATCTGAGGAATTAAGGAAGGAAAGCAGAGATAATTTTAGAAAAACATGGAGAAAATAATTAGGTTAAGTATACTTAACTTCTTAATGACTCCATAAACAGCTGGGAGATTGTCCTGATTTAGTAATATGTGATTTTAAGGAACATGTGTTTTACTTGACACAGATTTACAATTCATCCTAAGTACACTAAAGAGGAAAAAAATCAACCCAAACCCACTGCCATCAAGTCAGTTCCCACTCAGCGACCCTATAGAACAGGGTAGAACTGCCCCATAGGGTTTCCAAGCCTGTAAATCTTTAGGAAGCAGACCGCCACATCTTTTTCCCGCAGAGTGGCTGGTGGGTTTGAACTGCAGACCTTCCAGTTAGCAGCCAAGCACTTAACCACTGCACCACCAGGGTTCCTTAAAGAGGAGAAGGAACTGTACTTCTCACTAAACAACATCTTTGAGAGAGTTATGATCTGTGGTTAACACATCCTTGATAATTATCTCTAAGCATCGTAAAGAAGAGGGGGAGGAAATCAGACAAGATAGCCAACGGTTATCGAATGCCTCCTATGCTAAACAATGTGCAGTATGTAAAATCGAGGCTCACAGGAATTTCCTCAAAATGACAAAGCTAATAAGTGGCAGGATTGGGATTAGAAACCAGAGCTGAAGCCTGGCTCTGTGTCAGCTATTAGAAAACAGACTTTCAGAGAAAGGAATCGACAGAGGGTAGAGAGAACAGAGCCACATGGAATGTAAAGCCGGAAGTGCTTTCCCCCACCAGAACCTTTTTCCAGGCTCTGCATCCCAATAATAACTTGTTACATCTGCTTCAAAATTTGTACTCATTTATCTCACTCATCTGTCAGTGGCTGTGATGCTGGAAGCTAGGCCACTGGTATTTCAAATACCAGCAGGGTCATCCTTGGTGGACAGATTTCAGCCAAGCTTCCAGAATAAGACAGACTGGGAAGAAGGACCTAGCTATCTACTTCTGAAAAAATTGGCCAGTGAAAACCTTCAGAATAGCAGTAGCACATTGTCTGATATAGTGATGAAAGATTAGCCCCTCAGGTTGGAAGGCACTCAAAATACAACTGAGTAAGAGCTGCCTGCCTCCTCAAAGTAGAGTCAACCTTAATAATGTGGATGGAGTCAAACTTTCGAGACCTTCATTTGCTGATGTGGCATGACTCAAAATGAGAAGAAACAGCTGCAAACATCCATTACAAATTAGAACATCGAATGTACAAAATATGAATCTAGGAAAATTGAAGTTGTCAAAAATGAAATGGAACACTTGAAGATCAATATCCTAGGCATTAGTGAGCTGAAATGAACTGGTATTGGCCATTTTGAATCACAATCATATGGTCTACTCTGCCAGGAATGACAAATTGAAGAGGAACAGGGTCATATTCATTGTCAAAAAGAACATTTTAAGATCTATCCTGAAGTACAACACTGTCAGTGATAGGATGATATCCATACACACAAGGAAAACCAGTTAATAAGACTATTATTCAAATTTACACGCCAAACACTAACACCAAAGATAAAGAAATTGAAGATTTTTTACCAACTTCTGCAGTCTGAAATTGATCAAGCATGCAATCAAGATGCATCAGTAATTACTAGTGATTAGAATGAGAAAGTTGGAAACAAAGGAGAAAGATCAGTAGTTGGAAAATATGGCCTTGGTGGTAGAAACGACTCTGGAGATCGAAATAATAGAATTTTGCAAGACCAGTGACCTATTCATTGGAAATACCTTTTTTCAACAACAAAAATGGTGACTGTACACATGGACCTTGTCACATTGAATACACATGAATCAAATTGACTACATCTATGGAAAGAGATGATAGAGAAGCTCA